AGCAGAGACTGCATTGTCATCTGAGATTATTAAGGAACCAACATTTACCACTCCCAAATATGAATCTTAGCCCAATTATGGAGGTCGAGTGGAGTGGGCGGCCAGTTTTAAGTCCCTGGGTGCTACATTGTTCAGGAAGACCTGACCTGGGGCAACGTTTGTACTGTGGCTGTGGGGTGAAAAGGGCCCAGCAGAGATTGTATTACGCGTGTTATCCGGAAACTAAGGTTCCAAGGCACGTAGCTCTCACAGGGAATTTTCTTGGGGGAAGTTGGTCTCACTGCAGTGTAGCAGGAAGCGAACGAGCAGTGCCAGTCGTCAGTAGCTCATCGACTGGCACTGTGGTGAAGGTTAGAGATAAGCGTCTCCTTCCGTTTCCCTCCAAGTGCAAAGTCCTTAGCGCTGTAATACTCTACCTAATTGCTAAGGGCATAAACGCCGTTGTGATTCCTGGCGAAATCATTTCAGTTTATAGAGAGGACATAATGTCAAGATAGCATGTGACAAAATGAGTGCGGTATATATTGGGAGACCATGAAGAAACTTCGCAGAGCCATCCAAAACAAACGTCGTGGGATGCTGATGGCGGGAGTCTGTCTCCTTCATGACAATGTGCGTCCACACACCACTCATGCAACACAAGAGTGGTTGACTTCCTTTGGTGGGGGTGTTTGAAGCACCTCCTCTCACAGCCCCAATCTCGCACCCAGCGATTCTCATCTGTTCACTAAAGTAAAGGAACACCTGGGTGGAAAACACTTTTCCGGCAATGAGGAGGTGAAAATCGAAGTGACAAACTGGCTGGAAAAAGGTGGAGGGAAACTTGCATCAAAAACTCGTCCCACGGATGACAAAACGTATTGCACGGAATGGTGATTATGTGGAAAATAATGTAATACCTATGCTACAATCCATGGAAGTGTTATTAAAATATATTCATTCTTTGTATTTTAAAAAATCTTGTAACCAAAGCTCACAATACTCTTAAGGATCCTTCTCACCCTGGATATTCTTCTCTCTCTCTCTCTCTCTCTCTCTCTCTCTCGCTTTCTCTCTCTTTTTGCATCATTACCATCAGGCACATTGTTAGAAATAGCAACCTTCCAAGCCTCCACTAGCTGTTTGTAAATGTGTATAATTATTAACCTATATTGTACATACATTTTGGTTTTCCAGTTTGACTGTACCTCTTTGGTGTGGGCAAACAGACACAGGACTCCATTTTTGATATTTAGTATGCTTTTAGACCTCAATGGAGGTGGATGTAGTGTATCTCCTTTCAGAATTCAGTGAGTACAGTTATACAGTTTGGACTATATCTATATGCTTAAAGACATTGGACTATGGACAAGCATGCTGAATATACACAAGAAGTTTGTTAGTAAACCTGAGATGTTATTTCTTTAAAGCAGTGTTTCTCAACCTGGGGGTCGGGACCCCTGGGGGGGTCGCGAGGGGGTGTCAGAGGGGTTGCCAAAGACCATCAGAAAACACAGTATTTTCTGTTTGTCATGGGGGGTTTGTGTGGGGGGTTTGGCCCAATTCTATCATTGGTGGGGTTCAGAATGCTCGTTGAGTGTAGATATCTGTTGTAGTGTTTCTGAGGAGAAGTCCTGTTTAACAAAAATCTTGCAGCCTCTGAATTTCAAGTCTTTGATTTTCTTAAATTCCTTGAACACACAGGATCTGGGGAGAGGGTTTGTTGAGCGTCTACTCTCTCCGACCCATGCGCAAAAAGTCCCACTCGATTGTAGATGAACTGTAAATCCCAGCAAGTCCAACTCCCAAATGTCAAGGTCTATATTCCCCAAACTCCACCAGTTTTCACATTTAGGCATATTGAATATTCGTGCCAAGTTTGGTCCAGATCCATCACTGTTTGAGTCCACAGTGTTCTCTGGATATAGGTGTACTACAACTCCAAAACGCAAGGTCAATGCCCACCAAACCCTTCCAGTGTGTTCTGTTGGTCATGGGAATTCTGTGTGCCAAGTCTGGTTCAATTCTATCATTGGTGGAGTTCAGAATGAGCTTTGAATATAGGTGAACTATAAATCCCAGCAACTACAACTCGGAAATAACAAAATCAATCCTCCTCAACCTCACCAGGATTCAAATTTGAATGTGTCAGATATTTGTTCCAAATGTGGTCCAGTGAATGAAAATACAACCTGAATGTCAGCTATGTACATTACAATTCATAACAGTTACAAAATTACTGTTACGAAGGAGCAACAAAGTAATTTGATGGTTGGGAGTCACCACAACATGAGGGACTGTATTAAGGGGTCGCGGCATTAGGAAGGTTGAGAAACAGTGCTTTTAAGAAGACTACCGTATATTCTGGCGTATAAGACTACTTTTTAACCCAAGAAAATCTTCCAAAAGTCAGGGGTCGTCTTATACGCGTGAGTCGTCTTATACGCTGGAGTAGCCTTATGCATGGGAGTCGTCTTATACGCCGAGAGTCGTCTTATAGAGCGGGTGCTGAAACTTCCAATCCGGATTGGAGAATCTGTGGTTGCTGCATATTGTGGGGGGAGCTCAAAAATGGCAGTAGCCGCGTCCCTGGCGTATGCAGCGACTGTATGAAAGCATTAAGGGTGATGCTGTACAAGTACGGTAGAAGAAAATCCATTCATCAGGATTCGTGGACTTAATGCGGTCCCGATGGTGAAGTGAAGGGCGCCGCTCCGGGAAGGTATAAATAAAAGGCAGAGCAAGCTGCAGGCATCTGGGGCGCCAAAGGTATGGAAAAAAGAGATCAAGTGGCTCTGGGCCCAGACAAACACACCTCTTTTACCTGTCTGGCCCGCCCTTGTATCCTATTGCTGTACCTCCTCCTCTGCCTCTCAGATCTCGCTCCTGAAGACTGCAGTGAAGTGGTGCAGGTGCACATGTGCGGGATCTGAGAGGCAGAGAAGGAGGTACAGTAATAGGGAAATTACCATATTGAAATCAAATCTGATGCTTTTAATTTTTTTTATTTTTTTGTGTGTTGGAAGAGGGATAGTCTTATACGGCGAGTATATCCCAAACTCTATATTTTATCTGGAAAAGTTGGGGTCACTTTATACACCCAGTTGTCTTGTATGCCGGAATATACGGTACTTGGTTTTTGTCTCTTGAGTGCATATTCTAAACTAAGAGGTTTCACAGGAGTGTATATCTTTTGGGCAACTGAAAATTGTACTTCAAAGAAACAACCATCCTCTGCTAAACCAATATATTTTTGTAGTGGCATGACTTTATCCTTGGCGGTTTAAAGTCTAACAGTCTAACAACTGAGTTACCTGTGTGCCATTACATGAATGGTTATGAATATCACTTGTTCAGAGGGTTGAGTTCCAACAAGGTTATGCCTTTTCTTGACTAGTGGTTTTCAACATGTTCATGGAGATTCACATTTGCCAAATGGAAGTGACATCATTGTTAATCTTTTCAATAAGATTAGGGTGCAGTTATTTCCAATAGGTTATGGAATTTCCAATACATGTGACATAGGATGAAAAAAGGCAAAAGTTGCACATCGCAAGTGCCGAACCTGACTCAGCACATAGAAGATGGCTTTGAAATGCAGCAGATCACAGCAGTTGTTTTCATAGACCTATCAGCGGCTTATGATACTGTGAACCACCGCCTCCTCCTGAGAAAAATGTATAATATCACAAAGGACTACCACCTCACCCGCCTCATAGGAAACCTGCTACAAAACAGGAGCTTTTTTGTTGAGTTCCAGGGCCAGAGAAGCAGGTGGCCGAAACAGAAGAAGGGCCTGCCTCAGGGGAGCGTGCTTGCTCCATCCATGTTCAACATCTACACAAATGACCAGCCACTGCCAGAAGGGACAGAGAGCTTCATCTATGCTGATGATCGTGCCATTACCGCTCAAGCAGGGAGCTTTGAGATGGTTGAACAGAAGCTCTCCGAAGCTCTAGGTGCCCTTACTGCCTATTACAGGAAAACCAGCTGATCCCTAATCCATCTAAAACACAGACATGTGCTTTTCACCTTAAGAACAGACAAGCATCCCGAGCTCTGAGGATTACCTGGGAAGGATCCCACTGGAGCATTGCAGCGCACCCAAATACCTGGGAGTCACTCTGGACCGTGCTCTGACCTACAAGAAGCACTGCCTGAATATCAAGCAAAAGTGGGTGCTAGAAACAATCTCATACGAAAGCTGACTGGCACAACCTGGGGATCACAACCAGACACAGTGAAGACATCTGCCCTTGCGCTATGCTACTCTGCTGCTGAGTATGCATGCCCAGTGTGGAACACATCTCACCACAGTAAAACAGTAGATGTGGCTCTTAATGAGACATGCCGCATTATCACAGGGTGTCTGCGCTCTACACCTCTGGAGAAATTACATTGCTTAGCCGTATTGCACCACCTGACATCCGCCGGGAAGTAGCAGCCAATAGTGAAAGGACCAAGGCAGTGACATCTCCAGCCCACCCTGTTTGGGTATCAGCCAGCACGTCAACGACTTAAATCAAGAAATAGTTTTCTTAGATCTACAGAGACAAACGCTGGAACACCCCAGCAAGCGAGAGTCCAAAAGTGGCAGGCCCAAACCCAGAACCTCAATCAAATGAGGGACTCCCCCCTGGGCACACAGAAAACTGGGCGACTTGGAAGGCGCTGAACAGACTGCGCTCTGGCACCACGAGATGCAGAGCCAACCTTAAGAAATGGGGCTACAAAGTGGAATCCACGACATGCGAGTGTGGAGAAGAGCAAACCACTGACCACCTGCTGCAATGCAACCTGAGCCCTGCCTCATGCACAATGGAGGACCTTCTTGAGGCAACACCAGAGGCACTCCAAGTGGCCAGATACTGGTCAAAGGACATTTAATCAACTACCAAGGTTGCAAACTTTGTATTTTGTCTGTTTGTTTGTTTTTGTTAAAAATGCAATACAAATGTCTGGTTGCTGCTGACACGATAAATAAAAATAAGGATGAAAATAAAAGAACACATAGGCTGAGATTCTGTATTGATTCTATATTGAACCCTAATGTTTTCACACTGATGTGGCATTACAGGGTTGTGCGATAGCAATTACGATGTGGGAGGGTGGGTGCTTTGCTTTTGTGATGTGTACATACATATAATACGCAGTGGGGGGTGGCATTGTACAATGACAAGACAGTAACTCGCCAAATTACACTTTTTACCACGGCACATTTAGGTAGGGGAAGAGAGCAGCTTTCTTGAATGGAAGCCCGAGTTTTTTTGACTGAGGAAGAAAGGAAAAAATCAGGCAAGCCGAGAGAGAGCCGAGAAAGCAGAGGTTCTTGCTCGGAGAGGTCAGGGCTGCCAGGCCGCTCTTTACAGAGAGGTCATATCGTTGAGTGCGTGGTCCAGCTCCTCGCTGATGGCTTTGTACTTCAGCTTTTGAGCATAGAGTTCATCTGAGCCAGAAGGAAGGCAAGCAGGAGGAGAGCGGAGAAAGATCAACAGGTCGCCGCAGGCAAAGAAGGAACGGAAAAGGCGGCGAGGCAAAGAGAGAAAGGAGACAGGCGTTAAAGGCGGCCCAAAGGCAACGAGGCCATCCCCATGCACACACAGAACCCAGGGATGTTGCAACACAGCCCCCAAAACGCTTGGCGAAGAAGCAAAAAGCAAGGCAAGAGAGGTGGAACGACTGCATCGACTCAAATCTAACGCTCACCTTTTTGGACCAGATTACGTGGCGCATGAGATTCGCATCATACGGTCCTCTTATTGCTGAGCCCGAGCCCAAGGCGCAGCTGTTTCGGAAGCTTCACCTGGAGCTACTGGAGGAGTATTGTCTCCAATTTAATGCTATGCAGTGTTGAGATTTGTGGTTTGGGGAGGCACCCACACTATCTCTTTAATTTAATTGTTGGAGCTCAATTCTTTGGGATCCTGAGATTTGCAGTTTGGGGAAGCACCTGCCTTATCTCTAATCTAATGGCCCCTGTTTGATGCTATGGGATCCTGGAATTTGTAGTTTGGGGAAGCACCTGCCTTATCTCTAATCTAATGGCCACCGTTCAATGCTATGGGATCCTGAGAGTTGCAGTTTGGGGAGGCATCTGCCTTATCTCTAATCTAATGGCCCCTGTTCGATGCTATGGGATCCTGGGATTTGTAGTTTGGGTAGGCAGCCACATTACCTGTAATCTAATGGCCACCATTCGATGCTATGGGATCCTGGGATTTGTAGTTTTGGTAGGCACCTGCCTTATCTCTAATGGCCCCTGTTCGATGCTATGGGATCCTGGGATATGTAGTTTGGGTAGGCAACCACATTACCTCTAATCTAATGGCCACTGTTCGATGCTATGGGATCCTGAGATTTGTAGTTTGGGGAGGCACCTGCCTTAACTCTAATCTAATGGCCACGGTTAGATGCTATGGGATCCTGGGATTTGTAGTTTGGGTAGGCAGCCACATTACCTCTAATCTAATGGCCACCGTTCGATGCTATGGGATCCTGAGATTTGCAGTTTGGGGAGGCACCTGCCTTAGCTCTAATCTAATGGCCCCTGTTCGATGCTATGGGATCCTGGGATTTGTAGTTTGGGTAGGCAGCCACATTACCTCTAATCTAATGGCCACCGTTCGATGCTATGGGATCCTGAGATTTGTAGTTTGGGTAGGCAGCCACATTACCTCTAATCTAATGGCCACCGTTCGATGCTATGGGATCCTGGGATTTGTAGTTTGGGAAGGCACCCACATTATCTCTAATCTAATGGCCACCATTCGATGCTATGGGATCCTGGGATTTGTAGTTTTGGGAGGCACCCGCGTTACCTCTAATCTAATGGCCCGTTTGATGCTATGGGATCCTGGGATTTGTAGTTTGGGGAGGCACCCACATTATCTCTAATCTAATGGCCACCGTTCGATGTTATGGGATTCTGGGATTTGTAGTTTTGGGAGGCACCCGTATTATCTCTAATCTAATGGCCACTGTTTGATGCTATGGGATCCTGGAATTTGTAGTTTTGAGAGGCACCTGCGTTATCTCTAATCTAATGGCCACTGTTTGATGTTATGGAATCTTAGGATTTGTTGTTTCATAAGGCATCCGCACCCTTTGGCAAAGAAGGCTCAGAGGCCTTATAGAACTACAGCTCCCATGATTCCATAGCATTGAACCAAAGCAATTAAAGTGATACATGCACCTCAAGGTTTTTTTTTTCCATTGCTGAAAGAGTTGGTGTTCCGACACAATTGTTTTAAAAGTATGAATGCTAAGCAGGTAGCTGCTCTGATGGCCAAATGACAAAGAGGGCACCCTATTGCTGCCGCGCATGACATTCACCAGCAAATACTTCTTTTTGGTTTTGAGGTTTTGAAAATGGAGGTTGCGCTAATGCATCCTCCATTTTGCATAATGCATTGATAGCGCATGAGACTTGAGTCAAGACAGGAATTAGGAAAGACGCCTTGGCTTTAAGAGTGGCTTGGCGGTGGAATGGACTGCCATGGAGTGTGACGGGCCCGTCTCTCTTAGGTGTCACTGGCCGGGAGGTGGACTAGATGCCCTTAGGAGTCCCTTCTAAGAGTCTCTTATTCTCTTGTGATGTTGGCCACTTTTTGCACGCCAGCCAGGGCTCTCAAAATAATCAGAGGCTGGATGGCCATCTGTAGGGAGGGATTGGATGGTGCCTTCCTTCCTTCTTGGCAGAAGGGAATTGAATAATAACAATAATAACAATAATAATAAAGCAGAGGTAGGATGACCATCTGTCAGGAGAAGGAGGTTGGGCAATGATTTTTTTCCATGTCAGGAGCGACTTGAGAAACTGCCAGTCGGGCAATGATAATAATAATTATCATAGTTATTATTATTATTAGTAGTAGTATCATTATCAGAGGCTGGATGGCCATCTGTCAGGAGGGATTGGATGGTGCCTCCCTGCCTATAGGAGGGGGTTGCAGTGTATGGCCCTTGGGGTCTCTTCAAACTCTAGTATTCTATGGTGGTAATTATAATAGTAATAGGCTGGATGGCCATCTGTTAGGAGGGATCGGATGGTGCCTTCCTACCTGGCAGAAGAATCTTGGGTGATGATGATGATGATGATGATAATTATTATTATTACTATTATTATCAGAGGCTGGATGGCCACCTGTCGGGAGGGATCGGATGGTGCCTCCCTGCCTATAGAAGGGAGTTGTAGTGTGTGGCCCTTAAAGTCTCTTCAAACTCTAGTATTCTATGGTGGTAATGATAATAGTAATAGGCTGGATGGCCATCTGTTGGGAGGGATTGGATGGTGCCTTCCTACCTGGTAGAAGAATTTTGGGCGATGATGATGATGATTATTATTATTATTACTACTATTATTATCAGAGGCTGGATGGCCACCTGTCAGGAGGGATTGGATGGTGCCTCCCTGCCTATAGGAGGGGGTTGCAGTGTATGGCCCTTGGGGTCTCTTCAAACTCTAGTATTCTATGGTGGTAATGATAACAGTAATAGGCTGGATGGCCATCTGTTGGGAGGGATCGGATGGTGCCTCCCTGCCTATAGAAGGGGGTTGATGATGATGATGATGATTACTATTATCAGAGGCTGGATGGCCACCTGTCGGGAGAGATCAGATGGTGGCTCCCTGCCTATAGAAGGGAGTTGCACTGGATAGCCCTTGGGGTCTTTCCAAACTCTAGGATTCTATGGTGGTAATAATAATAATAATAATAATAATAATAATAATAATAATAATAATAGGTTGGATGACCATCTGCCGGGAGGGATGGTGACTTCCTTCCTTTCTGGCAGATGTGGGTTGGACTGAATTGCCCTTGAGGGCCTCTTCCAACATTATAAAACTACTCATTGTCTTCTTGTTGACCTTTCCATGAGGTTTAAATATTAAATTTAGAGTGCCATAAGATTAGTCAGCGCCTGCCTAAAGGCCATCCCGTACCTTCCAGATCATCGATGGTCTTCTCCAGCTTCGCCACAGTCCTTTCAGCGAACTCTGCCCGTGTTTCAGCCTAGGAATGAACAAGACGTAAAAGCAAGGGAAAGGTGGGCTGTCTCCCCCCAATTCTGCTCCCCCCGCTTCCAACTCAGCCACAAGGCAGTTGCCTCACCTCCTTCAGCTTGTCTGTCAGCAGCTTGATCTCCTCTTCGTACTTGTCCTCCTTCTCCGAGTACTGCAAAAAGCCAAAGAGGGGTGGGCTTTAGCACAGCTGGTTAATCACCAGCAGCAATAGATCTTTCCCAACTGAAAAGTTGGGAGTTCGAGCCTGGGTTGGGGTAAGCACCTGACCTTCGGTCCAGTTTACTGTCCACCTAAACAGCTTGAAAACAGCTGTGAGTAGAGAAATTAGGTTCTGTTTACGCAGGGAGGTATTTTACGGCACCATTAAAAAAGCTGGTGATCAAAGAACAGTAGGGAAGTCTGTGATCTAAAAGGTTCGTCATCCAAAGAAAAATATTTTTCAATTAAAAAAATTATCTTTTGTTTGCCTTCCAGTTTGTCTTCTTGAGTTGTTGTTTTTCACACATCGGATAAGTCTTTGGAGGACAATGGGAAATCACATTTTTTTCTTCGTTTTTTTTTTTCCTCCCCTTTTTTTTCACTCTTTCTCTCTCTATATCACTGTGGCCAGAATCGAGCATAACCTCCAGGACTCCGAAGCTAGAAAAATGCCGAGACACATACCTCTGTCTGTCTGTCCTGTATGTTTAACAGCATGGAATGTTTGCCATGAATAATAATAATAATAATAATAATCTTTATTTTTACCCCGCCACCATCTCCTCAATGGGGACTCGGAGCGGCTTACATGGGGCCAAGCCCGGACAACATAATACAGCAATAAAATCAAAGCATATACAACAGACAACAACAACATTATCAAAATGACATTAAAATAATAATAATAATAATAATAATAATAATAATAAACATTCCAATAGACACAATCACGATAGAGATGACAATGGGCGGGCCACCTATTCCGAATAAAAACAATTAACAAATTATGATGAGATAAAATAGGAGCAGGACGTTTAAATGGAACTCATAAAACACACAGAATAGTAAGTCAGAACATCCTATTTGGAGGGCACGAACTCCATTAGCCAAAAACGTTGAGGGGGTGTAAAATATAATGCTGTGCACCTACTCGCTAAAGGCGCAGCGGAAAAACCAGGTTTTGAGGTTCTTTTTAAATTTTTCCAGTGTATGTTTTGGGGTGAGAAGGGTGGAATATAAATACTGTAAATAAATATATTAATTTTCCTTAAAGAGTGAATTAAGAACCCTCAACCATGTAGCAAGGTGGGAGGGATACAGAGTCTCTCTCTCTCTCTCTTGAACCCACAGCCGGAAAGGAGTTTATCCCACAAGGTGCCATTCTTTCCCAATGCATGAAACCATTAGGAGGGATCATCTGCAGGCATGGGGTGCAGCGTTATGGGTATGCTGATGACACCCAAATCTATTTCTCACTACCTTTTAAAAACAACCTCAGACAAGACAGAGGTGCTTCCCGTCAAGGTCCTCATTAGGTGCCATTCTTTCCCCATGCATGAAACCATTAGGAGGGATCATCTGTAGGCATGGGGTGCAGCAGGGTATAAATAAATATAATAATATTTTTCTCATACTAATAATTAGTATTATTTCCTTGTAGAAAGAAAAGCAAAGTATAAATAAACATAATAATAATAATTATTGCTAATAATTATTATTATTGCTAATACTAATAATGGACACATAGCTGCTTAGGGTTTCCTTGTGGAGAGAAAAGCAGGGTATAAACTAATATTGGCTCCATATATATATTATATATATTAAATTATTAGCATAGTACAATATCAGTATTATATATTACTATATTGTACTACACCATTATATTGCAATATTATTAGTAATATTACATGTAATATAAAACATATAGTTATAGTATTGTATTATTATTATATTGTATTACATTATAATTACTATAAATATTATATGTATATACAATATATTATATTATATTATTAGTAAAGCCCAGGAAACAAGATGGAACTGTCTTCTGCCCCACTCTTTCTTCACGCTGGCCCAGAGCAGCAGTTGGTGTGTGTATGTGGGGGGTGGGTCCCAACTGATGTCAAGATCTCTATCTCATGCCATCCAACTATCCAACTGTCAGCCATTCTGACACACAGCACATGGCCCCATGGGCCAAAAGGGAGGACAGGACATAGGAACCAGCCATAAAACTCAATTGCCCCAAGGTGGGAAGACAGTGGGAATGTGGAAAGGGGCAAGATCCAGGCACCAGGTCTCTTGATATTGCAGCTAGACCTATTATTATAATGATTATGATGCTCACCTTCTCTGACTGAGCCTCCAGGGACTTCAGGTTGTTGGTGACGTTCTTGAGCTCCTCTTCCAAGTCACTGCATTTCCTGAGGAAAGCAAAAAGGAATGGAAAGGATTCAATAGCCTTATTTCTCCAGGAGCCTTCCAATGTCTATGAGGCTGGATGGTCAATTGTCAGGAAGGATTAGATCAGCGTTTCTCAACCTGGGGGTCAGGACCCCTGGAGGGGTCACGAGGGGGTGTCAGAGGGGTCACCAAAGACCACTAGAAAACACAGTATTTTCTGTTAGTCATGGGGGTTCTGTGTGGGAAGTTTGGCCCAATTCAATCGTTGGTAGGGGTCAAAATGCTCTTTGATTGTAGGTGAACTATACATCCCAGCAAGTACAACTCCCAAATGTCAAGGTCTATTTCCCCCAAACTCCACCAGTGTTTACATTTAGGCATATTGAGAATTCGTGCCACGTTTGGTCCAGATCCATCATTGTTTGAGTCCACAGTTCTTTCTTGATGTAGGTGAACTAAAACTCCCAAAACTCAAGGTCAATGCCCACCAAACCCTTCCAGTATTTTCTGTTGGTCATGGGAGTTCTGTGTGCCACGTTTGATTCAATTCCATCGTTGGTGGAGTTCAGAAAGCTCTTTGATTGTAGGTGAACTATAAATCCCAGCAACTGCAACTCCCAAATTACAAAATCAATACCCTCCACCAATCCCAACAGTATTCAAATTTAAGTGTATTGGGTATTTGTGCCAAATTTGGTCCAGTGTATACATCCTGCATATCCGATATTTACATTACTATTCATAACGGCAACCAAATGACAGTTATGAAGTAGCAATGGAACTACTTTTATGGTTGGGGGTCACCATAACATAAGGAAGCGTATTAAGGGGTCGTGGCATTAGGAAGGTTGAGAACCACTGGATTAGATGGTGTTCTTCCTCAATGGAATAGGGACGTTGGCTGGATGGCTCAATCCATAACCTTATTTCTATAGCCTTATTTCTCCATGTGAGCCTATATAAATAAAAATGTCATGTTCATTTGTGGTATTCACAGAACTCAAAAACCATTGGACGAATTGACACCAAATTTGGACACAAGATACCTAACAACCCAATGTATGTCCTTCACTCAAAAAAAAAAATGATTTTGTCATTTGGGAGTTGTAGTTGCTGGGATTTATAGTTCACCTACAATCAAAGCACATTCTGAACTCCACCAATGATGGAATTGAACCAAATGTGGCATACAGGACTCCCATGACTAACAGAAAATACTGGAAGGGCTTGGTGGGCATTGACCTTGAGTTTGGGAGTTGTAGTACACCTATATCCAGAGAGCACTGTGGACTCAAACAATGAAGGATCTGGGCCAAACTTGGCACAAATCCTCAATCTGCCCAAATGTGAATACTGGTGGAGTTTGGGGAAACAGACCCTGACATTTGGGAGTTGTAGTTTCTGGGATTTATAGTTCACCTACAATCAAAGAGCATGCTGAACCCCACCAATGACAGAATTGGGGCAAACATCCCACACAGAACCCCCATGACCAACAGAAAATACTGAAGGCCATCCAGTCCAACTCCCTTCATCAAGGCAAGAAAACGTAATCAAAGCCCTCCTGACAAAGAGCCATCCAGCCATAGATATAGGTAGATATTACATATATTAGAAACCATTACTTTATTTTCCAGATCACCAGACTGGGCCACAGCAATGCATGGCAGGGGACGGCTAATAATAATAATAATAATAATAATAATAATAATAATAATAACAACTTTATTCTTATACTCCAGGGTCTTCCTCCTCCTCTCCGTTTGGAGTGCCCAAACAGAGAGGAGGAGGAAGAAGAGCCCAGAGGAGAGGGACAAAGGCAGACCTCGCTGCTGCCGCTACCCCACGCTCCTCTCGCTGCTCTTCAAGGCTTCCACCAGAAGTGGAGGCCTCAAAGGGCAGCGAGAAGAACGCAGGGCAGCGAAGCAGCAGAAAGACCTTTTCTCCTCTCCATTCTCTTCTGATGGTGCCTCCAAATGGAGGTACAGGTCTTGCTGCGGGGGCATGGCCTCCTCTTCTTCCTCCTCCTCGCTGCCAGATTTGCCTCCCCGCCGGGCCTGGGCCTTCCTGTGTTGCCCCCAGGGACCCGGCAGCCATTGCAGGGAGGCGGAGGGGGCAGGGCCAAAGGAGGTGGCATTGTGACCCCTTGGAAACAGCCAATCAACCCCTCTGGGGGTCACGACCCCCAGGTTGAGAACCGTTGATTTAGGGCTTTGTAGGTGATAACCTGCACCTTGAATTAGGACTGGAAACTTATTGTTTGAACAGGGCGGTTGACTGCTCCCTGTAACTAGTACCCGTTAGTAACCTGGCTGCCGATCTTTGAATCAATGGCAGTTTCCGAGCCATCTTCAAAGGCAGCCCCACGCAGAGTGCATTAGAGCAGTGTTTCTCAACCTGGGGGTCGGGACCCCTGTGGGGGTCGCGAGGGGGTGTCAGAGGGGTCACCAAAGACCATAAGAAAACAGTATTTTCTGGTGGTCATAGGGATTCCATGTGGGAAGTTTGAGCCAATTCTATCGTTGGTGGAGTTCAGAATGTGCTTTGATTGTAATGAACTATAAATCCCAGCAACTACAACTCCCAAATGTCAAGATCTATTTTCCCCAGACCCCACCAGTGTTCACATTTGGGCATATTGAGTATCCATACCAAGTTTGGTCCAGATCTATCATTGCATGAGTCCACAGTGCTCTCTGGATATAGGTGAACTACAACTCCCAAACTCAAGGTCAATGCCCACCAAACCCTTCCAGTGTTTTCCATTGGTCATGGGAGCCAAGTTTGGTTCAAATCCATCGCTGGTGGAGTTCAGAATGCTCTTTGATTATAAGTGAACTATAAATCCCAGCAACTACAACTCCCAAATTACAAAATCAATCCTCCCCGAACCCCACTAGCATTCACATTTGGGTGTATTAGGTATTTGTGCCCAGTTTGGTCCAGTAACTGAAAATGCATCCTGCATATCAGATATTTACATGATGATTTATAACAGTAGTAAAATGACAGTTATGAAGTAGCAATGAAAACAATATTATGGTTGGGGGTCACCACAACATGAGGGACTGTATTAAGGGGTCACGGCATTATGAAGGTTGAGAACCACTGCATTAGAGTAATCCAATCTGGAAGTAACTAGGGCTTGGACCACCATGGCCAAGTCAGACTTCACAAGGTATGGGCGCACCTGCCTTCCAATATCTATGAGGCTGGATGGCCATCTGTCGGGAGGGATTGAATGGTGTCTTCCTGACTGGCAGAAGGACTTTGCACTGAATACTAGCTGTTCTGTTGTGTGCTGGGCCTGTAAAGAATTTCCTTTAGAACAGGACGTGCAACCTTTGCCCAGCAGGAAGCCCAAGGAAAAGTTCTCAGAGGTTTTCCACCACAAATGACCTTTAGATGGCTTGTGAAGTATAACAAAGTCTTTTATTAATGAACAATCAAACAGAAACTTCTCTTGTCTTCAATAAAGCTAAACAAATGCTTCCAAGCAGTTTATGCAACTGGTGACTTCCTAATCTTGCCCATGAAGGACAGGCAACTGTCTTCAATAACTTCTTCTTTACTTTAAATAAAAGTCCCCTTTTTAATTTCTCCCAGGCTGACTGTAATCTAACCCTTACTGATGTGGGCTTTGCTACCGGGTCGAACTGCTTCTCGAATGCCGAGTGGACTTACCAGTGAAGGCTTAGATGTTCTCCAGCTGGAGTTCTTTGGTCTTTAGGGCTGTTTCCCTGGAAATCTTTGGAGACTCTTAAGACTGTTCTCCCCCGGAAAGTCTTGGATGCTCTTAAGACTGTTTCCCCCCGGAAAGTCTTAAGGATTGAAGCTTTTGTACAGGGGAAGCTTGCACACGTCCTGTACATTAGCTTTCCTTGCTGAGACTAACTAAAAAATGGCTCCCTTCCCTTCCCAATTGCCCTGAGCAAGGGGTGGAACCAAAACTTGATGATGATGGACAGATGACTTGCCCTATGACTGCAACCAAAGGAAGCCACCTATCTGCAGAGTCCCTGAAACCTTGGACTGCAAGCAAACATTTAATACAAAGTAAATAAAATTGGAGCTCCTGGTACAGCCGTACCAGAACACTAGCCATTGGGGTTTCTTCCACCTATAACCTGATGACCCTTTAAAGCCTTTACTCCTTTTGGAATCACTAGGGAGGGACAATTGGAGGCAGCCACTCACAATTCGGAAACTTCCGCCCGCTCTTCTGCTCTTTCCAGTTCTCCTTCTAGGATGACCAGTTTGCGAGCAACCTGAATAATAATAATAATAATAATAATAATAATAATAATAATAATAATAATAATTTATAATATTAATAATGGATACATAGCTGCTTTGAGTCTCCTTGTGAAGAGAAAAAAGCAGAGCATTAATAACTACTAATTAGTAATAACAACAACAACAACAATAATAATAATTAAACAGAACAAACAATCCAGTCAGTTGGATGTCCATATTTTAATATAGTTATACAATTTTTACAATGTTTATGTGTTTGGATTATTATTATTATATTTCTTACCAGTGCCTCCTCGTGGCGCGAGGTGAGTTACAGCATAATCTAAACACATAAATATCATAAAGCATGCGGCGACATAGGTATGCTGATGACACCCAAATCTATTTCTCTGTGTCTTCCAAAAGAGCCTCAGCAAAGGAGAGCATGCCGGGGATAGCCACTCCTCCTCCTCCTCCTCATTATTATTATTATTATATAATTATACATAGTGTTAAAGGTAAAGATTTTCCCCTGGCATTAAGCCTAGTCGTGTCCGACTCTGGGGGGTGGTGCTCATCTCCATTTTTAAGCTGAAAAGCCGGCATTGTCCTTAGACACCTCCAAGGTCATGTGGCTACTGACATGACTGCATGGAGCGCTACCTATTGATCCACTCAAATTTGCATGTTTTCGAAATGCTAGGTTGGCAGAAGCTAGGGCTAACAGTGGGAGCTCACCCCACTCCCTGGATTCAAACTGCCAACCTTTTGGTCAGCAACTTCAGCAGGTCAGCGGTTTAACCCACTGCACCAGCAGGGGGCCTCATTATTTCCTACTTGGTTTATTATTTAAAAAAACATGGAAATGAAGCACATTGTATCATAATTATATTTTATTATTATTGTATTATATTATTATTAATATAATTAATAATTATATTAATTATTATTATATGTAATCATATTCTATTGTTACTATGTAACACAATGGATCATAAATGTCATTTCCTAATTGGTTCCATTATAAAAAACATGAAAATGAAGCACATAATATTATATTATTATAATATATGTTGTTATTATTATTATTATAGTATTATGAATGTATTATATTATACTAATTATTATAATTGTATTCTATAATTATAATGGCATTATTATATACACATAGTGGTACTGGAGGTGAATTTGTAACCCGGTCGCAGCCCCGCAGCCTCACCTCCTCGTACTTGCGGTCGGCCTCCTCAGCAATGTGCTTGGCCTCCTTCAGCTGCATCTCCTGAATCTCCATCTTCTCCTCGTCCTTCATGGCCCGGTTCTCGATCACCTTCATGCCCCTATCGGATGTGGAGGGGAAAGGGAAGGGAAGTGGTCCTGATCCCGGCCACATTCCCTCTCGCTTGCCCCACATCTCAGCACCCCGAGGGTCCAGGCTCACCTCTCGCTCTCGTCCGCAGCCTTCTCGGCCTCCTCCAGCTTCTGCAAAGCAGTGGCCAAACGCTCCTGGGCACGGTCCAGCTCCTCCTCCACCAGCTGGATGCGCCGGTTCAGGGCGGCCACTTCACCTTCAGCCTGTGTTTAGATATATACATATCCGGGGGGATGTTAGAGGGGAAATGGGGAGGAAGGGGGCACCCAACCCCAATTGATGGCAATGGAGACCTTTCCTCCAAATTGGCATTCGGAAAGCCAAGCAGAAAGGAAGCCACAGGACCCAAAGGACGTGGGAGGGATGACAGAATAACTTCTATTTTCACTGTATGTCATACAACGAAATTAAATATCACACTCAATGGACATTATATATATATCAGTGGTTCCCGATCTTCTGGTCCGTGGACCACCAGTGGTCCACAAGGACTAAAATATGGTTCTTGTGGGTTTTTTCGGGCTATATGGCCATGTTCTAGAGGCATTTCTCCTGACGTTTCGACTGCATCTATGGCAAGCATCCTCAGAGGTGAGGGTTAAAACTAAAATATGGTCCACAGCCTCACTGTTACTATACTGTTGCAACAAGTGACTGGTCTCACAAACCCTCTTATAATGGTGAGGTTTATTAAATATGGTTTTCAGTGGGCAAGCAGGTGGCAATGACTGGGTGACATATGTTCTGTAACAGAAACTAGAGCTGGTGTGGTCTATTCCAATTTTCTGAATCAGCACCCCAAATAACCAAACCAAATTGGTTTGACAAAAAAAAGGTTGGTAACCACTGATATACAGGGTGAGGCAGCATAATTTCTTTTTTAAAATGCGCGCCATTCAGTCGGTTGAAGACGTAGCGGAGCGCTAGTGGTCTCGTTCGAGAGGCGGGAGTATAAAGTTTTGTCCTGACACAGTTCAGTCGCCATCATGCCGTTGAGGCCTACTTTTCGAGCGGATTTGGAGTGACCGGCCCGCTCTCCAGATTTGGCCCCTTGTGATTTTTTTCTATGGGTTTTTTTGAAATCCTGTGTTTATGTGAACCATCCAAGGACCCTACAAGATCTGAAGACCAACATCCAGGAAGAAATTGCCAACATAACGCCTGCTATGCTAGCAACAGTAATGACAAACGCCAGAAATCGGTTTACTCAGTGTATGGAGAATGGGGGACATCACCTACCTAATTTGATCTTCAAAACTATGTAAAATAAAACTAGGTATGCGCCTACATTATAAAAAAAAATTCTGATTCATACAATAGGTTTTATTAAGTTTTGAAAAAAGGAAGTTATGCTGCCTCACCTGTATATGTACAAATTACAAAACAAAGCATCCATTCTTCTAACACAGTGGTTCCCAACTTTTTTTGACCAGGGACCACTTTGACCAGGGACCACTCCCCAACATTAGTACCAAAAGGGTTACAAATCAATTTTTGGTCAACTTTAGTCTCGGTTAATTGATTTGGGGTGCTGATTCAGAAAAATGCATTGGATAGACCACATCAGCTCTAGTTTCTGAGACAGAACAGATGCCATCCAGTAGTTGCCACCTGCTTGCCCACACAAAACCATATTTAATACTCTAGAGCTGATGTGGTCTATCCAATGCAATTTTCTCAATCAGCACCACAAATAACCCCAGGAACAGGCCTAAAAAGGCATGTCTCGCGGACATTATTTTAGGTCCCACAGCCCACCAGTATGCGTATTTCACAGGGACCATGAGAGAGAAACCTTAGAGTTCAATATAGAATCCAATGTCTCTCTCAGCCTGTCTGTTTTTATCATCCCTTCCCGTCTGCCAGATGGTAATAATTCTAAAGAAGTGAGATGGATCTTTAAGGATATTCCGAGCTTTCTCAAGGCAGCGGGAATTATAAAGTTCTTCTAAATGGGGGAGAAAGAAAGCAACCCATCATTCTCTGAAGGGCCTTCCTATCTGCCACTGTGCAATTAGCAAACCATGCGCTGATGTAAGTCAGAACACTCTCTATAATAGAATATTATGAAAGGAAAATCCAAAAAGAAGTAATGTTCCTGGATTTAGATGCTGAAAAAGCATTCGATAATGTTTAACTGGGAATTTTAAAAGTTACTTTTGAAGGAAATTGATATTTGATTTTTTTTCAAAATATAATTGAAACCATATACAAAAATCAAGAAGCTAAGGTAATAATAAACGGACGAGAAACCAAATATATAGAAATTCAAAAAGGGACCAGACAGGGGTGCCCGTTATCACCCCTGATCTTTATACTGACATTGGAAGCATTACTAAATAAGATCAGAGAAGATAAAGAACTGAAAGGTGCAAAGATAAATGGAAAATCTTACAAAATTAGGGCTTTCGCCAACGACATAATATGTGTTATTGAAGAACCAAACAAAAATATAAGAAAATGGCTAGAGACAATAAAAGAATTTGGGGAACTAGCAGGCTTTAAAATAAACATGGAGAAAACAAAGGCAATAACAAAAACATACCAAAAATTAAATTGGAAATACTGAAAGAAAATTGGAAAATGCAGATCGTCTCCAAGATAAAATATCTCGGCATCACAATTACACCCAAGAATGCCCAATTATTACAGAACAACTATGGGAAAGTATGGAAGGAACTCAAAAGAGACTTGAAAAAATGGAAAAATTTAAAGTTATCTCTCTTAGGCAGAATTTCTAGCGTGAAAATGAACATTCTTCCAAAAATGATTTTTCTTTTTCAAAATTTACCAGTAATAAGAAGCCAAAAGAACCTGAAAGAATGGAACAAAGATATAAAAAAATACATCCGACAAGGTAAAAAGCCAAGGATAAACCACAAAAATATGACTGATGAAAAAAAAATAGGGGAGGCGTAGCATTACCAGATCTAACCCTATATTCAGAGGCTTGTGCATTAACATGGATCAAAAACTGGATGAAATTAAAGAAAGAAAAAATATGGAATCTAGGAGGGATAGAACTAAGGAAAGGTTGGCATGTGTACCTTTGGTAAGGAAAAGCAAAAATCGAAAAAAAAATTAGGGAACCATTTCGTGATATCTCCATTTTTACAATTTGGGATAAATATAAAAGTAGGATGTACAATAAAACCCCATTATGGGTTTCCCCCATAGAAGCTTTTCAACTAAGAGGAACTGGACGGGACAACTGGCAGACCAACAAAGACTTATTAAAGAAACAAGGAGAAGAAATAGTGCTAAAAACACAATAATTAAAAGAGACATATAAAAATATAACATGGCTTCAATATTGGCAAATAGAAAAATACTTTATGAAAGATAAAAAAATTGGCTTTTCAGAAAAAGAAACCACCTGGGATAAAATAATGAAATTGGAAAATTATAACTAATATATATATATATATATAAATTATTAGAGTGGAGCACAGAAGAAGAGAGGGTGAAAAATGCATGATAAATTGGACGAGAAACATTGGAAGTTCGATAGGAATCGAGGAATGGGAGTCAATCTGGAATAAAAAATTAAAATATACATGTGCTTATGATTTAAAAGAAAACTGGGCGAAAATGACACCACACAAATTAAAGAAATACTACGAAAATATAAATTCAAAATGTTGGAAATGTGGGGAGGTGGAAGGAACCTTTTGCCACATGTGGTGGTCATGTAAAAAACAAAACAAAATCATTTTGGAAGGAAATACACGAAAACATACAAAAGAATACTAAAAGTCAAGATCCCATTGAAACCAGAGATATTTCTACTAGGTATCAACGAATTAAAACTAGACAGCAACACAGATAAACTCTTTTTCTTGGCAACAACAGCAGCAAGAATATGCTATGTGAAATTATGGAGAAAAAGGGAAATACCAAAACTAGATGACTGGAACAAAAAAATTATGGACATAAGAAACATGAATAGACTAACCTACATGATATCTAAAGAAATAATAAAGAAAAAAACAGATTGGACATTAGGTTCTTGTGGGTTTTTTCGGGCTATAGAGCCATGTTCTAGAGGCATTTCTCCTGACGTTTCGCCTGCATCTATGGCAAGCATCCTCAGAGGTAGTGAGGTCTGTTGGAATTAGGACAATGGGTTTACCTCACTACCTCTGAGGATGCTTGCCATAGATGCAGGCGAAACGTCAGGAGAAATGCCTCTAGAACATATATAGCCCGAAAAAACCCACAAGATTCCAGCCATGAAAGCTTTCGACAATAGATTGGACATTGATAACTGAATACTTAAAGTAAATGTAAAAACAGAAACAAGTAAGGAAGGTAATAAAATAATTACCAATCAACAGAGAATAAAGAAGAAGGAGAGAAAAAGAAAAGAAGAATGAAAGGAGATTGGAGATGGAGAGGATAAGAAGGAAAAGGGGAAAAAACCCTCCAGGAAGAAGCTCGGAAATGAAACCATTTTTTTTTCTCTCTCTCTTTCTTTTTCCTTTTCCCGTCCTTCCTTTCCCCTCTCTTCACACCCTCTCTCCTTTCCCCCGCCTCCCACTGAATATCTACTTTTTATTATTTTATACATATTTCTTTTTTCTCTTTTTTCATTTCTCGTTTTCTTTTTAAAAAAAATGTTTTTAACGTTGTATCCTGAAAATACTCAATAAAGATTTTTTTTTTTTTAAAAAAAGAACACCTAATATAATACAGTGGTAGAAAGTCACCAAACGTTTTTCATTCAAGGGTACATTCCTTTAAAAGTCTCAAATAACAATACAATCTCTGCTGGGCCCTCTTCTCCAATGTTGCTTCAAGTACATTGTAGCACCCAAGGACTTCAAACTGGCCACCCGCTCCACTTGATCTCCATTAATAACCAAAGGCTGGATTTCTGATCTACTCCTTCTGTCATCGCCTAGAAGATCCATGGCCTTGTTGGTGTGAAGACTAAATGATTGTCCCTTACAACAGAATGCTGAGGGTCTCTTCCTCCTCTTCCTCGACTTGGGGGTCTCCTCCTCCTTTACCTCCCCCCCCCCCAAGAAAACTCCCCCAAAACACTCACATCTGTGGCCTTCTTCTCGGCCTGCTCAAGCTTCTCTTGTGCATCCTTCAGGGCCTCGGAGTATTTGTCCAGCTCATCCTCTGTCCCTTTCAGCTTCTTCTGCATTGCCGCCAACTCATCCTCCACCTACAAAGAGAGACACAGAGACACCGAAATGAAGGACACAGAGAGAGAAAGTGCGGACAGGAAAGAGGGAAAAGGTTTGGTCGCATGTGATGCAAGTGTGCATCAACCTGAGACTATAAAGCCCATGATGCAGGAACAGTCAAACGTGTCACTCTCTTGGCGCTTTCTTGACTTGATAGCAGTAGCAGTTTATTTGATGCTTAGACCAGTGTTTCTCAACCTAGGGGTTGGGACCCCTGGGGGGGGTCACAAAGGGGGGTCACCAAAGACCATCAGAAAACACAGTATTTTCTGTTGGCCATGGGGGTTCTTTGTGAGAAGTTTGGCCTAATTCAATCGTTGGTAGGGCTCAGAATGCTCTTTGATTGTAGGTGAACTATAAATCCCAGCAAGTACAACTCCCAAATGTCAAGGTCTATTTCCCCCAAACTCCACCAGTGTTTACATTTGGGCATATTGAGAATTCATGCCAAGTTTGGTCCAGATCCATCATTGTGTGAGTCCACTATGCTCTCTGGATATAGGTGAACTACAGCTCCCAAACTCAAGGTCAATGCCCACCAAACCCTTCCAATATTTTCTGTTGGTCATGAGAGTTATGTGAGCCTAGTCTGGTTCAATTCCATCACTGGTGGAGTTCAGAATGCTCTTTGATTGTAGGTGAACTATAAATCCCAGTAACTACAACTCCCAAGTGTCAAGGTCTATTTCCCCCAAACTCCACAAGTATTCATATTTGGCCATATTGACTATTTGTGCCAAGTTTGGTCCAGATCCATCATTGTTTGAGTCCACTATGCTCTCTGGATGTAGGTGAACTACAACTCCCAAACTCAAGGTCAATTTCCGGTATTTTTTGTTGGTCATGGGAATTCTATGTGCCAAGTTTGGTTCAATTCCATCATTGGTGGAGTTCAGAATGCTCTTTGATTGTAGGTGAACTATAAATCCCAGGAACTACAACTCCCAAATGATAAAATCAACACCCCACCAGTATTCAAATTTGGGCGTATTGGGTATTTGTGCCAAATTTGGTCCAGTGAATGAAAATACATTTTGCATATCAGATATTTACATGACGATTCATAACAGTAGCAAAATTACAGTTATGAAGTAGCAACACAAATAATGTTATGGTTGGGGGTCACCACAACATTTGGAACTTCATTAAGGGGTCGCGGCATTAGGAAGGTTGAGAAACACTGGCTTAGACCATAGGTCTTTCATATACAGGGCAAACAAAAACAAGCAGGAAAACCAGATGATTAAATCCAATACGGAATACTACATAAACCATTAAAATGCTACATAAATCTTGACTTGACTCTTGACTTGATTGTAACCACCCCTTAGAGTTTTTTTCTTTCCTGTACGAATTAAACGATTGTATTTTCAACCTCATTTTTAGTTTCTGCTCAGGATCAGAGACTAGAGATACAGTGGAACCTTGACTTAAAAGCATCTCTACTTAAGGGCATTGTGAGTTAAGAGCTGTCACTCAGTCTGGATTTGCCTTGACATACAACCAGCATTTTGAGTTAAGAGGGAGCGCTAGAGGGAGTGCTAGTGGAAGAGTGCAGGGCTTTGAGGGAGCAGCTTCCGGGCCTTGTGCCCTTGTCTGCTTTGGGGGAGAGATTGCTGTCCACTTTGCTCTTGCCTACATAGTAATAATAATAATAATAATAATAATAATAATAATAATAATAATAATAACCCTTTATTATTACTCAGGGCAGATCACAGTACGCATACACAACAAACATTCAATGCTGTTTGGACAGACAGGACAGAACAGACAAAAAGGAGGTAGGTTGTGTCAACGTCCAGCTTTTCGCCTTGGAGGTTAGAATAGAATCATAGAATCAAAGAATCAAAGAGTTGGAAGAGACCTCATGGGCCATCCAGTCCAACCCCCTGCCAAGAAGCAGAAATATTGCATTCAAATCACCCTTGACAGATGGCCATCCAGCCTCTGTTTAAAAGCTTCCAAAGAAGGAGCCTCCACCACACTCCGGGGCAGAGAGTTCCACTGCTGAACGGCTCTCACAGTCAGGAAGTTCTTCCTCATGTTCAGATGGAATCTCCTCTCTTGTAGTTTGAAGGCATTGTTCCGCGTCCTAGTCTCCAGGGAAGCAGAAAACAAGCTTGCTCCCTCCTCCTCCCTGTGGCTTCCTCTCACATATTTATACATGGCTATCATATCTCCTCTCAGCCTTCTCTTCTTCAGGCTAAACATGCCCAGCTCCTTAAGCCGCTCCTCATAGGGCTTGTTCTCCAGACCCTTGATCATTTTAGTCGCCCTCCTCTGGACACATTTCAGCTTGTCTATATCTCTCTTGAATTGTGATGGCCAGAATTGGACACAATATTCCAGGTGTGGTCTAACCAAAGTAGTATTACTTCCCTAGATCTAGACACTATGCTCCTATTGATGCAGGCCAAAATCCCATTGGCTTTTTTGCCGCCACATCACATTGTTGGCTCATGTTTAACTTGTTGTCCACAAGGACTCGGAGATCTTTTTCACACGTACTGTATCTTTGATCGGTGATAAATCTGTGTTGTGCTCAAATCCAGCCACAGGGGGTGCTGTTGCTCCTTCCTCTATAAGGAACTTTGGGTTAGTTGATGCTGTGTGGTTGGTTTTTATTCCAAGTATGTTTAACTTCTTCAAGAGAGAGAGAGAGAGGAAGGCTGGAAGAAGAAAATGATGTTTCTGCCTCTTCACTTTGTGCTCCTTGCCCCAACTGCAAACAGGGGGGAAACAGCTGATTTCCCATTTTAGCAGGTTGAGATTTGAAAAGTGAATTTTACAAGAAAGGTTGCAGGTGTGCATGTTTAATGACTTTGGATGGATATGAAACTCACAATACAGGAACAGTCAAATATAGCACTATCTATTAGATAGAAATGGCACAGCATTTCTAGTCATATGAAAATACTGTTTGATGAACATGTGGAAGATTGATAGCACCTGAGTAATGACTGAAATGTCATGATGCAATACCTAAAGGGGTGTGGGGAAGGGCTGAGTCGTAACAGTGTGAAGGTTACTGCAATGGGACTGCATGATCATTTGTGTAGATGTTGAACATGGATGGAGCAAGCACACTCTCCTGAGGCAGGCTGTTCTTCTGTTTCCGCCATCTGCTTCTCTGGCCCTGGAACTCAACAAAGAAGCTCCTGTTTTGTAGCAGGTTTCCTATGAGGCGGGTGAGGTGGTCGTCCTTTGTGATATTATACATTTTTCTCAGGAGGAGGCGGTGGTTCACAGTATCATAGGCTGCTGACAAGTCTATGAAGACAGCTCCTATGATCTGCTGCCTTTCAAAGCCATCTTCTATGTGCTGAGTCAGGTTCAACACTTGCGATGTGCAGCGTTTGCCTTTCCTGAAGCCAGCTTGCTGTAGAATCAGACAGGGGCCTATTTTTTCCATAATTCTATGCAAAATAAGTCTCTCCAGAACTTTGTAGAGGTGGCACAACAGGGAGATTGGTCTATAGAGCTCCGAAGCTCTAGGTGCTCTTACTGTCTATTACAGGAAAAACCAGCTGATCCCTAATCCATCTAAAACACAGACATGTGTTTTCCACCTTAAGAACAGACAAGCATCCCGAGCTCTGAGGATGACCTGGGAAGGAATCCCACTGGAGCATTGCAGCACACCCAAATACCTGGGAGTCACTCTGGACCGTGCTCTGACCTACAAGAAGCATTGCCTGAATATCAAGCAAAAAGTGGACGCTAGAAACAATATCATACGAAAGCTGACTGGCACAACCTGGGGATCACAACCAGACACAGTGAAGACATCTGCCCTTGCGCTATGCTACTCTGCTGCTGAGTATGCATGCCCAGTGTGGAACACATCTCACCACACTAAAACAGTGGATGTGGCTCTTAATGAGACATGCCGCATTATCACGGGGTGTCTGCGCCCTACACCACTGGAGAAACTACACTGTCTAGCCGGTATTGCACAACCTGACATCCGCCGGGAAGTAGCAGCCAATAGTGAAAGAACCAAGGCAGTGACATCTCCAGCCCATCCCCTGTTTGGGTATCAGCCAGCACGTTAACGAGTTAAATCAAGACATAGTTTTCTAAGATCTACAGAGACACTCTCTGGAACACCTCAGCAAGCGAGAGTCCAAAACTGGCAGGCTCAAACCCAGAGCCTCAACCAATGGCTGATACCAAATGAGAGACTCCTTCCTGGGCACACAGAAGACTGGGTGACTTGGAAGGCGCTGAACAGACTGTGCTCGGGCACCACAAGATGCAGAGCCAACCTTCAGAAATGGGGACACAAAGTGGAGTCCACAACATGCGAGTGTGGAGAAGAGCAAACCACTGACCACCTGCTGCAATGCAACCTGAGCCCTGCCACATGCACAATGGAGGACCTTTTTGCAGCACTCCAAGTGGCCAGAGGCACTCCAAGTGGCCAAAGGACATTTAATCAACTACCAAGCTTGCAAACCCTGTGTTTTTGTATGTTTGTTTGTTTGTTCTGTTAAAAATGTAATACAACTGTTCGGTTGCCTGACACGATAAATAAATATGGGACTGCATCAGCCAGTGTCCCGTTCTGATAACCTATCAGCAGGTGGCTGTATAAGGAAGATGGAAGAATCCATCTCTCTCTCTCCTGTGTGACTCTTTGTGAGTATCTGTATATGACAGTGAGATTCTGACCGTTTGAAAGGACAAGCCTGAAAGTGGATCTGCGTATCCTGATTGTACATTTGTATATATTGCAACGGTGAAGATTAAAGCCTCCGGATATTTTGGATGAAAACCCGAATCTGTGAGTTTGCTACACAGTGTGTTTAGATGAGGTCAGATGGTGGCAGTTGGACTCTACTGTATTTTGCTTGCTTCTAAGACACTTGCTATCCACCTTGCAGTTGTTCAGGGAGATTGTTCTTTGGAAACTATAAATCATTTCACGAACCCATCCCACGATACTATCTTGCCGCTTTCTTGACTTGATTGT